TGGTAGCCGCAGTCTTGGAGTGGCAACATTCAACAGTACACCACCCACAGCTCAAGGTATCGTGTGTTTACCTTTTGGGAGAGCAAACCGAATTTGTAACTTTTCATTGAACGTTCTTTCGAATAGTGTGCATGCAACGTGTGAATTTTCTTTTTTATGTCTTCATATGAAATTCAGAAGAAATTTCCGAAATAGAGGCTCGTCTTTTCGTTTGGTTGTGATAAAATGGACTTTTTACGTTCTATAAACACTTCCTTGCTTCTACCGCTTCTATTAAACATTTTACTTGTTCTCTGTTCCAAATCGCTTGTTTTGACTTCGCAATTGACGTTTTTTTTGACGACAACGCAATTTGTCGGTTAATTCATTACTAAATACCTACATATAAATCCTGGAGTTAACTGAAAGAAGCGTATACATTTCGGGCATACCAACAGAATACTGCACCGATGTCCGCAGTAAAAGTTTCAACTAATTAGTAATCTTTTTCTGCACTTGCAACCTTCCTCAACAACTGTTCACACACGGCTATTTCTTAAACTTGCAGCAGATCAAGTTACGCAGTTTTTTAATGTGCTGCGCAACAAAAGTAGCTATGTCTGATACTACCTTTACATTGAATAAGGAAAATTGAGTCAATTGAAAGATTCAAATTAGTAATATCCAGGTCAGCAATTTAAAGATATTATTTTTAACTTTTTTTATTGTGAATTTGAAATCTCAGTGTACGATCTAATAATATGCATAATATTAACATAGTATAAGGAAACTAGTAGCTTTACTCCTTGTCAAATCCTTTGTTTTTTTTCTGCCACTTTATATGACCTTGTTCTCGCCTCCCGTGACCACTGACGTAGCTGTATAGTCGTGGTCTATTAACGGCAAAGTATAGTCTTGGCACTCGCCATAGTTTCACAGATATGTATTTAGGAAAATATGAGTTCACAATAAAATAAAATAAAAAAATTGATCATCGAGTAAAATCTTGCTTGAAAACAGAATATTTTCACATTTCGTGTAGGTAACAATTCTTCTGTATCTGAAAATCTTCTGATGGGAAGAAATGCAGAAAAAATATATAATGACATATTTTTATATTATTATCCATTTCAGAGATTTTCTACAACTTTTTTTTTATTTAAAACAAGTTTAATTTTCTGTAGAAAACTGGATTCGGCATAAAATTCTGCATATAGTACACTGTCTTTATTTAAAGCATACTGCGGTGTTGCCATTCTATTTCTTATTTACTAAAACTTTGGTTAAAAACATTATATACGAAAAGTGGTAAAAACTAGAGTGAATATAACTTTATTAATACTTAGCTATGTTTTCTTAAACATGAAGGATACCAGAATAAATTCGTGTAGAAAAATTTACTTTATCTTACACAGGGTAGTTTTTATGGCGTCACCAAAATCGTAATGTTTAAAATGTTGTATCTCATTTTTTTAAATGCAACACCTTGTATATTATTTTTCTTTCAGATGTAAAATTAAAAGGTCAACCTTTTTTTGTATTTAAAGTGTTCTTAAATTTTTAGCCGTTTTGCAAATTTTTCTGTATTTTATTACATATGGGATTTTCAACGATAAAATATCAGACAAGGATCATATTAGGTGGCTTTGATAAAAATTTACTGTTGAAAGAGCCATATGTAATATAATACTGCGAATATCTGCGAAACCGTTTAAAATTTAGAAACACTTTAAATAAAAAAATGCTAACTTTTTAATTCTGCATCTGACAGAAAAATAATATACAGAATGTTGCATTTAAAAAAATTGATATACCATTTTAAATATTCCGATTTTGGCGACGCCATAAAAAATACCCTATATAGAATAATGTATATAGAATGATGTATAATAAAAAAAATAAAACTAACTTTACCATAACTTTTTTGTATATAACAAAATATTTTTTGGATACGTCCCTTTATAAACCTTGAAACATATGAATAAAACTTTTTTGACATCTTCGACAACGACGACGATATTGGACTTCCTCGCACTAATGGGGCCCTGGATATTTACGGTGATTTAAAGCTAGGTGTGGGACTTTTCTTCCTTCAAATATAAATTCAATATTTTGTCTATAATATTTTGAATTGCAAATCCCCTGACCAAAAAATATTTTCATGTGCATATTTGAGACAACCTGTATAGCTAAAAAAATAGTTTTAAAATCTGCCCACATGCTAAAAAAATAATAACCTTTAATTAATATTATAATAATTAATATCTCAGCTTCTAAAATAAACAAATATAATTAAATGTTTATTGATAATTACTCAACTGATCAGCTTGCCGATTTACATCCGATGGAAATCCAAAAAAATAGAACATATAGATCCCATAGAACAATTCTTTGAACTATTACTACAATTAATAGCAACACACAGTAAGGCACTCAATCCGTCTCTGTGCTGAGACGCAACGCTCGAACCTCGCAGCTCGACGGACGGAATTCAACTGAAACGCTTTGCAATCTGCCGATATTCGACAGATTGCAAAAACTGGCAGAAAATATTTGCGAGAGTACAACTATTCTTTTCCTTAAACTATGATATTAATCGTAGTTATTATAAATAAATCAACTTCTACAAACTAGTTTCTATTGCTCTACATGTTCGAAAGGGTTACCACCCTTCCTATTGCACAACTTTATTATTCGTTCAATTTTATTTATAGCTCTTTGAACATATCTTCTTCTTATTCTTCCGAACGCATTTAGTACTCTTTATTGTAAATGTTTAAAAAATTGATTTCACTTTTACAAATGACGTCAAGTAAAGCCCCCCGCCCCTTGGCGACAGGTCCAGACTTCACTGGCCATTATATTGCTCCACCATTTCCAATCCATCTACCATTCCCAATCCATCTTCCGGGGAAATTACTTGATTGTTTATATTATATTATATTATATTTATATTATTTATTTTTATTATTTTTTATTGCATTTGATTTTCCGTATTCAATGTTTTACCCCACGTCTAACAATGAACGTGCATTTAAAGGCTTATCGCTATTGTAACGATGAATAGATTAAATATTTAAAAAAACAGAGCCAGACTTCAAATTAGTTTAAATAAATTGTGTTTAAATTTCCGAAACAAAAAAAGTATAAAGTGTGGCATATCATTGTACTCAGGAGACCGAGTTCTTTCAAAAAATGAAATAAAAAATGCAGGTCCGTATTTAAAAAAAAAGTTGGCCTCTGTATCTCACAAATTATCAGTTAATTTGAAAATCTAACAGGTGAACATCCCAAAGCGCAACTTTGCCCCAATTTAACCATGTTCGTATCTATTACGGTTACCGATATATCAATACTCGTACCTCGAATTTGTAGCACCCTGTATATATATAATATATTTTTTGTATTATTGAGATTTTAGTTCTAGGTATTGTTGATTTAATTTGAAAGAAGGAAGAAAATTAATTCAGGGCATTTAATATAAATATGTTAGTTCACGAATATCGATGCTAGCTAAATTCTGATGATGCCTAAAATAAAAATTGGCGAAACGTTAACTTAATGGTATAATTTCAAATTAAACCAAGAATACCTAGAACCAGAATCCCAATAATACTAAAATATACTTGGATTTTATCTTCATTAAATATACAGGGTGGTTCGAACTGTATTCCGGAAACTTCGGCAGCATATTCTGCAGATAAAAGTAAATAAAAAAAGTTCGTATAAATGTATGTCCTAAAATGCTTAGTTTGGGAGATACAGGGTGTAGAAGTTTCATATTTATTTCGATTTTTTCCAAATAATTTCTGAAGTAACGTTAATATTTGGATAAAAATTGGTGTCTGCGAGTTTTTTTACATGAGAAATTTGATTTTGATGTCAATATGACTACTACTAGTAGAGGGCACCACCTACATATTTTTTAACTGGTTTGAAGAGTAATAACTTTTCGTCCGTACCTGTATAAAACTACTGAGTAAAAAAATATACATTTACGACGTTTTTTACGTAAAAAATGTCTCTTGGTAAAAATCGCTACGAGTAGTGGTTTCGAGATATTTGGTATCGAAATTATCCATATCTGTCATTAACATAAATTAAACATGTTGACTAACTGGTTATTAGACTGAAATCATAAATTTGAAATGTTTTTGTGCCAAAAGTTCTACAGAAACTTTTATCATCATTTTTTTGCAGAGAAATTTATGATTAATTTAAAAAAATAAAAATAAACCAAACCTAACCTAACCAAACCAAACCAAATTTATTATTTCATTGAAATAACCATCTACTTAACGTGTTTATTCCATTCTAAATATCTAGAGAACGGTTACTCGTAAAGATTTTTACAAAGATATATTTTTGACGTAAAAAGGCACAGAGATGTATATTTTTTTCCTCAGTAGTTTTATACAGGTACGGACAAATAGTTATTACCCTTCAAAACAGTTAATACACATTTAGGTGGCGCTCTCTACTAGTAGGAGTCATTTTGACATCAAATTCAAATTTCTCATATCGAACTTTTTTACTTATTTTTATCTGCAGAATATGCTACCGAAGTTTCCGGAATACAGTTCGGACCATCCTGTATATTGGAAGGCGGTGGTATATTCTTTAATAAAGGATTGTTTGGTTTATTTTCAGGTTAGTTGTCAGTGACTCAAAAACTTATTTGTTTATGTCTTAATATTTCGTAAATCTTTATTTACTTCATCAGGAGATATAAAAACTAAAAGTCAGTCGGATCTTTCAATATAAACTTTCATTACGCCAATAATCTACTTTCAATTACAAAATTTAACGAACAAAGCAGATGTACACTGTTAGTTACAATTGTAACTTCCAAACAATCATTTAAAACAGTACGGTCGATATTCAAATTCCATTTCTTTACTAATTCTTTAATAAATATATGGTTATGAGACTTTCTGAATGGTTGGTTACCCTGTTTTTTGTGTTTAATAATTTTTTCGTCGTTTTTAGTGTCTAGCATAAACGTTTATAAACCATTACAGATACGAGAACGACACAGTGGGATGATCCTCGGTTATCCAACCCTGAAATAGCAGGTCCGGCCATACCATATTCTAGGGATTATAAACGAAAGTATGAATATTTGAAGACATCATTAAGAAAACCGGTAATTGATTTTTTATTTAATTTAAAATAGTTTTAAAAAATAGTTTTTCGAGCGATTCTTATACAGGGTGGTCGAACTGTATTCCGGAAACTTCGGCAGTATATTCTGGAGATAAAAATAAGTAAAAAGGTTTACATAAATATATGTCCTAAAATGCTTAGTTTCGGAGATACAGGGTGTAGAAGTTTCATTTTTATTTCGATTTTTTCAAAATAATTTCTGAAGTAACATCAATATTTGGATTAAAATTGGTGTCTGGGAGTTTTTTGACATGAGAAATTTGATTTTGATGTCATTATGACTCCTATTTGTAGGGGGCGCCACCTACACGTGTTTTAACTGCTGTGAAGAATAACTTTTTCACTGTACCTGTATAAAACTACTGGGTGAAAAAATATACATTTCCGGGTTTTTTTACGTAAAAAATGTCTCTTGGTAAAAATCGCTACGAGCAACCGTTCTCAAGATATTTAGAATGGATATTATCAATACGTGTCATTATTACAAAAACATAAACATATGTCGAGTAGATAGTTATTTGACTGAAATGAAGCTTGGGAACTTTTTATTTTTTTAAATTAATTATAAAATTTTCTTCGAAAAAGTGATGATAAGACAGTTTCTGTTGAAGTTTTGGCACAAAAACAGTTCAAATTTGTGATTCTATCAGTCTAAGAACTATTTAGTCAAGGTGTTTAATTTATGTCAATAACGACAGATATTGATAATTTCGATTCCAAATATCTCGAGAACCATTACTCGTAGCGATTTTCACTAAGATATCATTTATACGTAAAAAAAGTCGCAAATGTATATTTTTTTACCCAGTAGTTTTATACAGGTACGGACGAAAAGTTATTGCTCTTTAAAACAGTTAAAACACATGTAGGTAGCGCCCCCTACAAGTTTAGAGGAGACATATTGATATCAAAATCAAATTTCTCATGTCAAAAAAAAACCAGGCTCCAATTTTCATCCAAATACCGACGTTACTTCAGAAATTATTTGGAAGAAATCGAAATAAAAATGAAACTTCTACACCCTGTATCTCCGAAACTAAGCATTTTTGAACATACATGTATACGAACTTTTCTACTTATTTTTATCTGCAGAATATGCTGCTGAAGTTTCCGGAATACAATTTGGACCACCCTGTGTAAGAATCGCTTTTAAAACGTCCTTCGACGTAGTGCGATGCCTAGTCGCCATTGGTTTCGTTCATGACAGATCCCTTGAGCTCATCGCCTTCTTGACACCCTCCATTCAGTTTGTCCTTGGCCTTCCCCGTTTCCTTCTCTTTCGTGGAAGCCAGTTTAGTACCTTCTGAGGCAGTCGCGTGTTGTCCATCCTTCTCACATGTCCATACCACTTCAGTTGGGCACTCTCAATTTCCTCTACTATAGTTTTCTGTCTACCCATTTTGTCCCTGATTGTTTCGTTTCATGCTCTATCCAGCCTTGATGTTCGTGCTGATCTCCTTATCGCGTCCATTTCTACCGCCAGTAATTTTCTTTTGTTATTCTCCGTTAACCTCCATGTTTCCGCCCCAAATAACAGATTGCTTCTGATTATTCCATCATAAATCCTTAGTTTTCTGTCTTTACCTATTTCGTTACTCCAGAGTATATTGCATTCAGACATTTTATTGCATTTCTGGCCTTGACTATTCTCGAGCTCATTTCGTTGTCGTCTTTCCCGGATTTATCGAAAGTAACGCTTAGGTATTTGTATTCGTTACATGTTTGTATGTATTCATTATTCAGTTTTATTGCTGTTTGATCCGATCCAATGCAGAGATATTTAGTTCTTGTTAATGCTTGAATTGCAAAGTGTATAAGCAAGAATCTTCACTTATTGGTATGCCCATGCCTCTACATTTGCTTTTCCACTGCTTTAAAACTTGGTTGACGTATATTTTAAATAAAGTTGGTGACAGGCAACACCCTCGTCTTAATCGTTTAAAAACATGAATCTTATATTTTTGACCTGATTTATTATTAATTTTCTTTCCAGACCAATGTACCAAACAAATTTGAAATTAAAGTAAGAAGAAGAAGCATATTAGAAGACTCCTTCAGAGTGATAAGAACTGTAGCTAGAGTTGACCTTCTTAAGACCAAACTGTGGGTAGAATTTGAAGGCGAGGTTGGTCTAGACTACGGAGGTTTAGCGAGAGAATGGTTCTACTTGTTATCCAAAGAAATGTTCAACCCTTACTATGGACTGTTTGAATATTCTGCAATGTAAGTTTTGCTTTTCCATTTTTTGTAAAAAAAGTATTTTTTTCTGAAATATTTAATTGATTTTATTGATCGCGTTCATAAGGTTGTTTTCACCACGAATTTTAACTAGTATTGATTTAACAGCGTGTGATTTTTTTTAGCGGATTTATTAATGTGTTCGGGATAATAATCAGAATTTTATCACTAGGAAGTTACGATTTAGCTTTCTTTCACCTTTAAAATAATGCTTTATTTAAGCGCTATTATATGTGCTGGGGCTATCGTTTATAGTTTTAATAATTGCCAAGATTTCGTTTTGTGAGGTGGGGTGGGGTTTTCAGTTAATAACCGTAGTTTTACATTTATTATACATCTAAGTTAATAACCGCAGTTTTACATATTTTGCTTTACATGGTCACAAAATAACTTAGTTATAGAGAAGGGACAGTCGGCATCTGCTCCTTTGAAGTACTTGTCCTACACTTTTAACCTTAAAATCACATATTTTGACTATTACCAAAGAATATTTTAATACCCTAGAAGTCTCGTCTTGCATCAAAATTCGATCTGGCATGCCGATGGGGCCTCGCTTTGGCGAGCGCATATATTTATAAAGTATTCATATTGACTCCAAACTGCATTCTGTGAAGCCAAGCCGGTGAAATGGATATATAAATCTCCTCAGGAAATTTGCATAAGTCGCTCAGTCGGCTCGCAAGGATAGTGCGCAAGGATTTTGAATTATCGATCGGATAACTAGACCAATAGAGACTAATGAAAAACAAAAAAATCCGGCGACGACAGTTTTTAGAAGAGCCAATTAGCTATCTTTTAGTAAAAAAAAGCAACTTTCTAGAGCAAATCGTTACTTCAGACACTCGTTCGACACAGATAAACATTAGCATTTTATATACCGGGTGCGTCTCAAAAGTGGCTCACCCCTATAACTTTTTTATTTTTTCAGATAAAAAAAACGAGAGTTGGTGTGTTAGTTAGTATATGACATAAATTAGGATTGATTGACGTATTCAAATGTTTTCGGTCACTTCCTGTTTCACAGGAAATGACTACAACTTTTGATTTTTAAATAGCACCCTCGGTATTTTTTTACTTTATTCGAAAGAAAATAACACTCTGAATAGAATGACATATCATATGTCAACTTTTGACATTTTGGCATGTGGTTTATTTGAAATTATAACTTGCGGTTCGTAACGAAAATTTGACTCGAAATACCAAGTGTGTGGTATCAAATTATTCGTAAAAAATGCTTTTTTCAAATATGCCAATGAGCCACCCTCGTTCCATTTGAAAAAATTGAGATATGATTACAATACGATTTGAGCATTTTCTAACTGACTAGGACAAGACACTAAAAACATTAGACGATCAAATCTATTTGGAAAATTGGAAAAATCTATATTTTTCCAAGACTCCTTGATTAAGAATTAGTGTTTTTAACATAGCCATGGCACTCTAGATTTTTAAAATACGATTTTTTATTAAGCGAGAACGTCAAAAGTTGACATATGATATGTCATTCTCTTTAGAATGTAATTTTCTATCAAATAAAGTAAAAAATACTTAGGGTGCCATTTGATAATCAAAAGTTGTAGTCATTTCCGGTGAAACAGGAAGTAACCGAAAACAATTGAATGCGTCAATCAATCCTAATTTATGTCGTATACTAACACACCAAATATCGTTTTTTTATCTGAAAAAAATAAAAAAGTTATAGGGGTGAGCCACTTTTGAAACGCACCCGGTATGTAGATAATATTACATATTATCTAATAATATATAAAATTCTCGTGGCACAGTTTTACCGTACTCTTCCGAAACGGCTTAACCGATTTGAATGAAATTTTATATGTACATATATACTATTCAGTAAGTCTGAGAATAGGTTGTTATCTATTTTTTATACCCTTAAGGGATAAGGGTAGCCCACCCCAATTTTTGTTATTTTTCGAAAAGAAGAAATATTTTTATTTATTTTATGATTTGGCATTAAAAAATACATACTAGCCTAAATTTTCACTCTTCTAACCATTATCCCCTATTCTTTAATAGGAGTTGTTTTTTTTTATTTTTTTGTTACCATTTCCGAAACGACTTGACCGATTTTGATGAAATTTTATATGTATATGTATTTTTATACCCCTAAGTGATAAGAGTGGTCCACCCCAATTTTTTTTATTTCTTGGACAAAATTTTTATTATTTTTTTTATGATGTGGTATATAAATTCTGCGCAGGCGTTTTTTAGGTTACGTAATTTCTTCTTAATGCTAAATTACGTTACATAAGGAACGTCTGCGCACAATTCATACTTCTAAAACCGATTTTAACAAATTTTTGTACAAATTTTCATCCCTTATTTTTTAGGGGATGTAAAAAATTCGCTTCTGGGTACTCACTTTCTTCACTTATGGGACCTCTGTACAAAATTTCATACTCCTAGAACTAATAATTTTTTGTACAAAATTTCACCCCCAGTTTCACACCCTTAGGATATAAATTTCCGAAAATCGCTTATAAATGTTCAAATGCGCCACCTCTGTGAAAAAGTTCATACTCCTAATGCAGATTTTATTTTTTTGTATAATTAGACTCCCTTATCAAATTACACCCCCTTAGGGGCCGAATTTTAAAAAACAACTTAGTAGTGCTCCTCTTAGAGAACGAATTATTATTCTCCCTATTTACTCCAGTTTCCTAATACTATTTATTTTTTTATTGGAATGGAATAGAAGTATTTTGTCTTAGTAGTTACAAAAAAAAATAAAAATCTAAAATTTTATTTTCATAGTTACGTTTTTATAGCCTTAGGTTGCCTCATGTACTAACGAATACGAAATATATAATCAATACGTATTTCTTTAAATATGGAGAAACAAAATTTTTTTCCAAACTAAGCCAAAACACCGTACGAAATATCGCCGCGCGTAGTTCTCAAAATTTAAAATATGTATTAGCATTTTCAGGCTTCGATTATGTTCAAAAGCGCCACCGTGTGACAAATCACTAAAGCTTCTACAAGAGCGTTCTTAAAATTATAATATTCTTTGCTGTTAGTTTATCTCTCTTGTAGTCTGAAAAATATATAAACCTTTATTGTAAGAAAATTTTATATTATGCCCTGCAGACGTTTTATTTTTTACTAAATTTAGTATATACAAATTTAAAGAAATACAATGTACAAGTTAAAATAAACTTATAAACCTGGTTACAGGAGATTAAAGGGGAAAAGTTCATTCACTACCAGGTTTGGTTTGGTTTGGTTGCAGGTCTCTTTTTACGTTTTGATGTAAAATACGCGAAAAAAATGTAAAAAAATAAAAAGGGCAATCAAAAACCAATAAGTTCTGGTAGCAAAAAGGTATATAATTAATTAATTTTTTGTAACAATCATTAACAGTAAACATGAGTTTTAATGAATCTACTAATCGAGAAAAAGTAGTTTTTTTTTTCATAAAATATTTTATACGAGTAAAATACAGTATTTTACATTTCGGTTTTTGACACGTTCATCCCAGATATTAATCATTAACATCCCAGATAATTAATGCTCAAAATTTAACAACCGGCGTCATTTAAATTATAGCCTAAAAAATTTACAAACTCACTTATTATTTTGTACAGAAGAATTTCCCCGCGTCACTTCTGTTTAAAAGTTTGTCCAACGAGTCAGAGAAGATTTGGACAGACGACATTCAAAAATGTCAGAAAATACAATTTAGGTCTGCATTAAAATGACAGGCACAATAATTGTCACTGTCATATATTCTTTTGTTGGATGATTAGGTAATAATATGATTCAGGTAATTCTGTGGTTATAACATGCAAACGATATCTTAACCAGGAAAACTTTGTTTGGAAAAGGATTTCTATTATACTAAACAAATATTTGATTCCTAATACTCAATTTATTATATAATTAATATCAAACTCTTTTATTATAGGGATAATTACACACTTCAAATCAATCCAACTTCAGGATTATGCAACGAAGACCACTTAGCTTACTTCAAATTCATTGGCAGAGTGGCTGGTATGGCTGTATATCATGGGAAACTTTTAGATGGTTAGATTCCATTGTTTTAACTTGCTTAAACTATTTTTTTAATTCATAATATTACTGTATCTAAAATAGCAGGTGGTATATCTAAAGGATTTAAAAATGAAGGTGTCTATGTCCTTGTAAAGTGTAAATTGAGATTAATTTTGATGATATTTAAATAAAATAAACCCATTTAAATTATAAATATGTATGTAGACATATAAACACTGAACTAATGAATATTTTTTTGTTAAAATGATATTAGTTTGTAAGTAAGTAAATTCTAGATTTTTTTTCTAAAAAAGTTTTATTTAAAAATATAAGATAATTTTGTTTTCTAATAATTATTTTAACAAGTTTGTTTTAATATATTCTATTAAATATTTCCAAACCAAACCAAGCCACAAAATAAATTAGTCAGTGCGTTCTACATGACAGAAAGCAGCCTTTAAATGCATAACACCTAATAGTTATATACCAATTTTGCAACAAATGGGATTTTTTAATATTGAGTTGTAGTTGTTGAATGAAAAGTTTGTGCAGAATTTTATTATACATCTAGAGATCTAGAGGTAATATCGAAAAAAGATAAATTAATGTTCAGAATCTGATTTTATGCTTAACTTGCTTTAATAACTTGCTGGCATTCTGTATTATAATCTGAATTTGCTAAGACTCAATGTATGGTTTGTGGCATATTCAGTAACATTGTAACATACATATTCATCCAACTAATTTCTTTTGCATTTTTTAGCCTTTTTCATTAGACCTTTTTACAAAATGATGCTGTCTAAACCGATTGATCTCAAAGATATGGAGTCTGTGGACTCAGAATATTACAAGTCTCTTCTATGGATAAAGGAGAACGACCCTGCGGGTTTAGATTTGACGTTTTCGGTGGATGAAGAAATCTTCGGCCGTACTACCGTCCACGAACTGATTGAAGGTGGCGCTAATGTACCATTGGAAAATTCAAATAAAGACGAATATATTAAGTAAGTGATTATCTTAGATTAAGTTTTTTCAATGTGAGGCTTGCAAAGCTCATTCTTTTAATAATTCTTATTTTAGATTTTCGAAGTTATTCTTACAAGCTTTTAATATATTTTCTTGATGCTTCAGGTGTATTATACAGTGGCGGTTTGTTGGAAGGGTCCAAGAACAGATGAATGCTTTCCTGGAGGGTTTCAGCGATTTGGTGCCGTTGAGCGTAATAAAAATTTTCGACGAAAACGAATTGGAGCTGCTAATGTGCGGTATACAACACATCGACGTAAAAGACTGGAAACAGAATACAGTCTACAAAGGAGACTATCACTGTAATCATCTCGTTGTTCAGTATTTTTGGAGGGTAAGTACCTGTATTTTCCGCTTTGTGTGGTATTTTTATTTCTTATATAAGAAAAGTTCGAAATTATTCAATTACAGTAGACGCTCGGTTATGTGAACATCTTTTATATGAACTATCCATTACAATGAACAGTAGAAACGTAACATTACAGGTTCTATAGAGCGAACAGCGGCAACCTCGATTAAGTGAACAACTCTTTTGGTAATTCTCCGACTTGTCGGGTATATTTTCAGCTTATTATCATCAGTTGTTTTATTAGAATTCAATTTTCATTGCTATTACGACGAACTAGGCGAGTATTAGTCATTGTTAAGATATTTTTTTTTGTTCGAAAAGGAAAGCTGACGGTGTTTGAAAACAGCAATATTATAAAAAGTTTAAAAAATGGAAAGAGTGTTACTTACCTCGCAAAAAAGTATGACATTGCTAAGTCTACTGTGTGTGCAATAAAAAAAAATAAAGTGAAAATATCTTAGATTCCATAAATCGTAAAATGGCACTGAGAGTAACATCGGCATATAGAACGTCCCTAACTAAGGCCATTATGGTACTAGCTGGTATCCCACCCATAAAGCTCCAAGCAGAACAAAGGAGTCTAGTATATAAAAATGGGGATCAATTCAGATTTGAGGCGAGAAATATTATACTGGACAAGTGGCAGGAGGCGTGGTCGCAATATCAAAGATGGGCTAAAACTTTTATTCTAGATGTTAGGTTCTGGGTAAACTACAAGACGATAAATATAGACCACTTTGTGACACAAACCATTACCGGACACGGGATGTTTGGCACCTACCTAAAAGGAATCGGCAAAAGGGACACCGACACTTGCTTTTATTGTGACGATGTAGATAGCCTGCGTCATACAATATTTATCTGCCCTAGGTGGCAAGCCATAAGGGAAGAAAAAGAAGCCTTAGCCGTCTTTGGTGCCGTTTTTTTTTCGATCATATGACATTTCTTCAACAAAACATTATAACATGCCTCCCTTTTGTGACTATTATGTTAATGTGGATCCTTTTTCCCCGCAGGCATGGTATTTTTCATAAAGCTCAATAAACTCAGTTCAAACAAAGATATGTCTTATCTACTGCGAAAACTGACAGATGAACTGACATGTTTGTTTACACATCATTTTAACTGACAACTGATACAAAAATTTTGGAAAATCTATCGAACCAGGGCTCCGTACCATACGCCAAATACGCGAAATTGAAAAATAACGCTAACCGTTTAATTTCCGTTAAGTTGGACATTCCGTATGAAACAAAATTATTTCAGTAAAAATTACGTACTGTAAACTGCAACTTAGTTGCGGCAAGTTGCTGCAATCTACTTGCTGATGCTGCTCTTTGATGCTTGTTGCTCTGGATATATCCACAGAGCAACAAAGAGCACAGCCTTATCGTATAATTTTCTGGAGACTTTATAAAATTTATCAGGTACTGGTAGATTTTAAAGGTCAAGAGGGTCAATATTTAAAAGGGTCGACTGATCATAAAATTGATGTCTTAGCTCAGATCAAAATAGATCAGGAAACTTTTAGTCGTGAAATAAGTGACGAGTGTAGTATAAGCGATTCATATGTACGCAGAATTATTAAAAAATATAAAATTTCACAACTTGCATCCCAGTGATGACGAAGGCATACTAACATTTTGTAAATGGTTTCTAGAATGAGTTCAACAGTCCTAAAACCAATTACAAAATTCTAGTCTGTTTTCGACATCACTGCAATAGGACTACACATTAAAAGCCCCGTTTTTTCTATAAAAATATTATTGAACCAATGAACTAATCTTACAAATTCTTGTGTCAAACAATCAAATTTGTAAAAACAATCAAGTCTCAAATTCGTGGACCAGTCTACGAATTAGATACTTTCTGATTGTTTGGGCTGTCATTTGAAATAAAATAACAACAATGAATAAGAGCGCCTACGATAGCCTTACTATAATATAATTTATTAAGTAAATTAATTCTTTTTGCATAAAGCGTTATTTCTTCCTCTAAAACAGACATACATTCTTGATGTATTTCAATTTTTTTTAAATACTCTCACATAGTGACCTAATACATATTTAAGATATCGATAATGTAACCGAATTCGCGTCTCTTGTAATTTTTGAGATGTCAATGTTGAGCATCAAAATTGTCAGTTAGAATGTAAGGATTTAGACAAAACTTTAAACCTCATAATTTAATTTTTTTTCTAAAACCAAATTTAGGAAGATACTTTGCAGTAAAGTATAACTTCAATATTCCGGACACTCTCTGGAATACGGACACGGCTATTATTCGGACATTTTAAAACATTTGCCCCTGAAATCCGGACAAAAAAACTCATGAACTAAATCTCTCAATTTTCCAATCTGGACAAGCAGAAACGTTTACATTTTGTTCATGAACTGAGTCTATATTTCAGCATTGGATTCTAGAGCGGTAAACTTAATCGGTCCAATCAAACGAGTGCATAGATGACTTTTATTAACACTCGCCGAAAAATCTAAAATATTAGAGTATCTTGATTCTGGAAAAAAAAACTCGCCAAATTGCGGAACAGATTATGGTTTCAAAATCTGCATTGTTCGACCTGAATACAAGGGATAACATAATTTCAAAGACCAAGTAGGAATACCACTGTCTGTGACTTATTGTTTTAAAGGCAAATAAAAACAATTTAGAAGAGAAAAGTAATCTAAACTTGAACTATAGTATATCCAATGGGGGGATCCGTGACAGTGACACTTGTGTCTATCGTTTTAAATCACAGGTAAATTGTATTTTCTGCTATTTTTTTTGAGGATATGTGGCCAGAAATGTTACTGATTTCCAGGGATGTCATCGCCGTGATTCCGTTTCAGGAAAAAGTTTAGATCTGTTATTCTAGATATGACAATGTGCAAAGAACAAGTATTTAATGCAGAAGAGTTCATCAAGATGAAAAATCAGATCCATATTAAAAGATCGAAAGACCGACTAACTAGGTTATATGGGAAGGTTTTATGGGAAACTAGTATTTATCTATAATTTAGATTAATAAACGTTATTTTTTGACAATTTTTGAGATGTTTTCATTTTCTAAAGAAATAAATACAAGGTGTTTCAAAAAACACGTGCCATCTCTCGTGGGGAAATTCCTCATGTAAAAATAAGATTTATTTTTATTATATGTAACATAAATCCGATTCTGCTTTGTTTCGTAGCTACAGGGTGTTAAAGTCTTAATAATCTTTCTATTTATTATAATTTTCTTCCAAGTACTTTTAGTGATTTTTATACAGGGTGCTTTTTGAAACACCCTGTATAAGTAGCTACAGTAATCCGGGCAAAAATATATTTTGTACAGATTTTATATCTTTTTTAATAAAGAATCTTATTCTTAAAAAATTCACATTTAATTTTCAATCAAAAGAATTTTAAGAGATGAAATCCAGTTGTAGATTTAAAAAACAAACTAATTCTGAATATATCAATTATTTAGGTTGTGTTATCATTTACTAATGAAATGAGAGCCAGACTGTTACAATTTGTCACTGGTACGTCAAGAGTACCCATGAATGGCTTCAAAGAACTCTATGGGAGCAATGGTTTGCAACTGTTTACCATAGAAAAATGGGGCACGACAGATAATTACCCGAGAGCACATACTTGGTAAGTTATTTTGATATTTTTTATATTTAAATTGCTTTACAGGTGGTAGCGGTAAACCTATTGCAGAATTAGGTGCTTCATTAAAACCACGATGAATAATTTTACTTATTTTTGACTCACTCTGTACATTAAATATTTTTACTTTTTCAGCTTTAATCGGTTAGATTTGCCACCATACGAAAGCTATGCCCAACTGAAAGAAAAATTAGTAAAGGCCATAGAAGGTTCACAGGGTTTTGCTGGCGTGGATTGAACATAGAGAAATTAAAAACAATTTATATACTTATATACACATATATATTATATATAAATAATTTTTTGAGATTATTTAAACAAATCTGTCCATTACATCTTAAGCATTTTCCAATTTGAGAAAAACTTTTAGCTCTTTACTGTTAATGTTGTCTGCTTGGGGGAAGGGGGGGCTGGAAGTCTTCATTAATTTGGAGGCAGCAAAGCAGATATACATGGTGGTCGGAATTGTATTCCAGAAACTTCCGCAGCATATTCTGCAGGTAAAAATAATTAAAAAATTTCTTATAAATGTATGTCCTAAAATGCTTAGTTTCGGAGATACAGGGTGTAGAAGTTTCATTTTTATTTCAATTTTTTCAAAATAATTTCTGAAGTAACATCAATATTTGGATTAAAATTGGTGTCTGGGAGTTTTTTGACATGAGAAATTTGATTTTGATGTCAATATGTCTACTATTTGTAGAGGGCACCACCTACATGTGTTTTAACTCTTTTGAAGAGTAATAACTTTTCGTCCGTACCTGTATAAAACTACTGAGTGAAAAAATATACATTTTTGTGACTTTTTACGTAAAAAATGTCTCTTGGTAAAAATCGCTAAGAGCAACCGTTCTCTAGATATTTAGAATGGAAATAGTCAATACATGTCATTATTGACAAAAAACACGTTGAGTAGATAGTTATTTGATTGAAATAATAAATTTAGGAAATTTTTATGTTTTAAAATTAATCATAAATTTTTCTGCGAAAAAATGACGATGAGACAGTTTCTGTTGAACTTTTGACACAAAAACATTTCAAATTAATGATTTCAGCCTAATAACTATTTAATCAACGTGTTTAATTTTTGTTAATGATAATAGGTATTAATAATTTCGATTCTAAATATCAAGAGAACCATTACTCGTAGCCGATTTTTACTAAGTCCTTTTTTACGTAAAAATCGTCGTAATTATATATTTTTTTACTCAGTAGTTTTATACAGGTTCGGACGAATAGTTATTAATCTTGAAACCTGTTAAAAAAATATGTAGGTGGCGCCCTTTACAAGTAAGAGTCATATTGACATCAAAATCAAATTTTTCATGTGAAAAAACACTCAGACACCAATTTTCATCCAAATATTTACGTTCCTTCATAAATTATGTATCTCCGAAACTAAGCATTTTTGGCATTTATAAGAAATTTTTTAATTATTTTTATCTGCAGAATACCTATGCTGCCGAAGTTTCCGGGATATAATTCGGACCACCCTGTATATTATCAAAAATATTTTTTTTACAGTAAAAGCAGGCCTTTATATTTACATATAAAGTAAAATGACATGTCACTTTTTGACGTTTAATTTACAACATTGATATCTAACATGGATGATTAACAACAACAACTAAACCACTTTTATTAAATTGAGAAAAGTGTAGAATTATCTCTGAACTTACAGTCATATGATATTTTTGAATATTTTCTGTTAAAAAGTTTTGATTGTGATAAAAAATTTGATCAAACCATTTGTTATAACATCTTGACTCTCCCTGTATGTACTATATAATTTTAGACCTGGGGGTTTATTCCAACTTATTTTTAAAAAAATGTAGTGGGTGTTATGTGTAGTGTCTTAAAGCATTACATTTAAAGCATTCATATCTAAAGTCCGTCCAACAAGGAAAAAATTACTCCACCAGTACATTATATTTTCTGTCATTTTTTGAATGTCATCTATCGAAATATACCCAGACTCGTTGGACAGATTACTTTCCTCCAAGATACGTATATAAATAAAAAAACATATAAATTTCTTTGGTATAATTTCAAATAGCATATATAAATTTTAATATAAGTTTAATAAATACCGTATGATCGAAAAAAAATGGCGTCCAGTTGGCTTGGAAATGACGATCGATGACATTTCCAATATAAATTTACATATAAAATGACAGCGATCTTCGTTTCATAGCCATCGCTGACGCCGTTTTTATTCACCGATCATACGGTATTATAAATATATAGGTTTGCCTCTTTGGTCACACTTGTTGCCATCCTGTACCCTATGAAAGTCGTGTACAGGTAAGTGTCTCACTCAATTTACAATTTTCCTATTTCCTATTCAAAAACAGTAGAAATATTTTAATGTAATTTTTGCGACGATGCCGATTTTCTATCTCAAAATGTTTTAAAACATCAATTTTGACTGATGCGACGCCATATTATTTTTTTTTAAACGGAAACCCCCCACATGTTTTAGCATTTTCCTGTAGACATATTTTACCTAATTTCAAAAATATATAGTTTAGTATATTTTGCTCTTACCGTTTTCGATTTACAGTGCATTTAAAAATGAAATGTTCCAGAATCATTTTAAGCGACTCATCCAGTTTACAATTTTCGAATTTTAAAATTCTTAAAAATGTCATATTAGACAAACACGACGCCTAAAACTTTTTATTTATTTATACTTTGATATACTCAACGTTTTCTTCAATAACTATTATATTTAATAAAAACACTTTTTTAAAAAAAAAAGTCTGATGGTGATTTCTCAAACAAAATAAATGACAGCTCAACCAACTGATGTCATGTTATACATCTTATAAGAATTATATTTTAGAGATAATTTCGGGAGATAATTTCTGAGTAAATTTTAAAGTTAATACATGAATAAATTTATTATTAATTTTGAAGTAGATCCTAAACGTATCAAGTTGGCTATATGAATTTCGGTGGATCAAATACCGGTCTTTGTAGAAAAAGTTAAGGTTTAATTAAAAGAAAATTAACAATACAATCGCCAGTGCCGTAGCATATTTTTCACAAAAGTTCCTTTAGATGATTATTTAGACCACAAAATTTCATAAAACCAGCTTAACTCACTGGGGAGTAATTTCAAAATGATTTATTTTTTGCTAGCATTTCATTTCGTATCTCGGTAATCAAGTCAGCAAGGGCTATTATTATTTATAATAGTTTTTAAATTAAAAATAATACCAGCAATCATCCCTGAAATTTGTGAAAATTCTTTTAAATCACTAGTACATGTATAATAAGGGCCCTAAATTTGCCAAGAAAGGTAGCGTGCTGTGGTTTGGAACATTTGTATTTATTTGACAGCCGCCTATTAAAATGTTAATTTAATGGCAATTTGATGTTCTTGTCTTAGTGTATTGGTCAATAAATTATTACCAAAACTTTTAATATCTAACTTCTAATATATTATTATCTTCTAATTTTGTGTTCTTAAATGTTCTTAAACTCTTTGGGAAGTAAGAGCGTTACAATTTAAACACGAAAATATAGTAGCGTCAGATTACTAGATTGACTTTAGTATATTTTGTTTGCTATTTCTTCACTTGCATTAGAAATAAAATTTTTAATTTTGATTGTGTCTTCATTCATATTTTTAAGTAACTACTAGCTCATACAGGATGTCTTGATTTTCAACACCCTGTATATAGAAAACGGTGGAAAGTATACTAAACTATATATTTTTGAAATTAGCTAAACATGTCTACCCGAAGATGTTAAAATATGTAGGGGTTTCTATTTAAAAAAAATCAAGATGGCGTCGTATCTGTCAAAATTGATGTTTTAAAAAAATTTCAAGTAGAAAATCGGCATCGTCGCAAAAAAATACAGTAGAAAATGTTTCTACTATCTTAAAATACGAAACAGAAAAATTGAGTAAGACACTTAAAATAATGTCCCTGTACATTGAGTGCCTTCAGGGATGGTCGGCGGCTGAGTAAGCGACTTCCCTGAACGGTCTATTTTTACACACAAAAACCGCTGAGCAAAATTCTCAGCGGTTGGTTAGCGGCTGTATTCCCTGAACGCGCACATTAATTGAAAAAGCTGTTTTAAAAGCTACGGCCGTGAATACCGTGGTGGGGCGCTATTCGGTACACGGCATCGACAATCGTCGATATCTGTAAGTTGCGATAGTTTTTTAATGGAAAAAATGTGTTAATTGTTGTTGTCATAGTTACCGATCGGTCATAGGGCAGATATCGCAAATTTGTACCGACGAGAATCGGTATCTCTACCGTGCCCTTGTTAACCCCATGGTATAGAGATACCGATAGTCGTCGGTACAAATTTGCTATGGGCCCTATTGATGACAGCAACAATTAACACGACGTTCATTGGCCGTACGTACCGATAGCTGTCGGTAACTTACCGATACCGACGATTATCGATGCCGTGTACAAAATAGCGCCCCTGGCAACTGTTACTTGTTGGTCGGTATTTACACGTGTGGAAGTAAATTGCAAGAGAATCGGTATCTCTACCGTGCCGTTGGTCACCCCTTGGTATAGAGATACCCATAGTCGTCGGTACAAATTTGCTATAGGCCCTATTGATGACAGCTAAAACTATGACAACAACAATTAACACGACGCTCATTGGCCGTACGTACCGATAACTGTCGGTAACTTACCGATACCGACGATTGTCGATGCCGGGTACAGAATAGCGTATCAATAAACAATAATAATAACAAATAAAGTATCACGAGACCTAATTAAATCGTGAAGCTGAACGCATGTTGTTCACCTTTCCCTAGAACTTTAAGTACTCACAGAGGTACTGATTGTGATACTGTACGTCTCTTAGCAATGTGCACAGTTTCTCGATTTATTTCGTACGTTTGGCAACGTGTTTACTGTTATCTCTTTGTTCAGTACATATAAACGCATTGTACTCTTCTTACATACGGAAATCTCGACCCAAGACTAACCTTTGCCAGACCTTAGTATTTATACCTATAATAAGAATCAGTAAAGTATTAGTAAAACAAACGACAAATTATATCTGGGGTTGCAGCCAAAAAAATAATAATTCTAAATATATATTGTTATATTCAATAATCGCAAAAATCATATTAAGATAATGCAACAGAATTTATTTAATCTGACAGATAAAACTCATCATCTTCTTGTCTCAATTAATATTCGTTCAAGCTTCATTTTTATTATACAGTATATCCTCGGATCGTCTCTACGAGAGGAAAAAGATTTTGATCATTAATATTATGAGAAAAATGAATTCTTTATAAAAATGGTTGCTTGTTCTAAAATAGTTAATGTTAAAAAAGTACAAAATTTGTTTATAACCTGTCCAATGTATTAGGGAAGATTTCGACAGATGACATCCAAAAGAATACAGAAAATACAATTTGCCTGTAAATTAAAATAACAGACACAACTTATCACTGTCAGGGATCGTTGGACAGACGGTGATAGAAAAAACAGACATTGGACAGACGCTGATAGAAATCCTTTTTGATTTTTCAGCACTTAAATTCAACCGTAATTTCATATTCCTTTTTTATTTTATCTAAAATGGTATGGAAATTTGGAATGTAAAAAGATTAACCATTTTAGAATTGCAAAAACTTTTATAAATAATGCGTTTTTCGAAAAATGTTAATAAAGAAAAGTTTTTCCTCTTGTAAATACGATCCGAGGACATACTGTATTTATTCACGTAAAGTAAGATTTATTTTTCATATCAACATAGATCCGATTCTGCTTTGTTTCGTAGCTACAGGGTGTTAGGTCTTAATAATCTTTCGATTTATTATAATTTTCTTCCAAGTACTTTTAGTGATTCAAATGAAATTTTGAGGCTAAAAGTTACTATAACACTATACTAAGTGATACATATTTGAATGCCATAAAAGTGTCGATAAATTCATCATATGGATTATCACTTGAATATTTTACAAAAAAAATGTGCGCCACTGACATTTTTTCTTCTGATATCAAAGTTGTGTAGGCCGTTTAATGCCAATTAAAAGTTATCTCTTGATATTTTGTCGAATTCGGCCTCCTTGATGAAATAACTAAGTAATAATAATAAATTACATATTTTATATACCTAATTTATTATTAAACATTATTACTATTAGTTATTATTCATATTAGTCCAACCTACAGAAATTTCAAATTAAAAAAATGGTATTTAAGATAAATTACAGAAAATTTAATTTTAAAGTTTTAATATCCTGTAACTACTATGCATTTCCATACCCACGTTTAAAGGAACTTTTTTTCATATTTTTGATGAGGAATCAATGAGTACTTATTTAAATCTTTTGCAAGTTAATGATATTAAAATTTTTAAAGGTTGCTATTAGATTTGGATCAAGACGAATTAATAAAATTACGTTTGTTTCGTCAGAGGCCGAAATCGACAAAATATCAAGAGACAACTTCTAATCATAATTAAACTGCTTACACTATTTTGCTAACAAGAGAAAAAAAAGTCAGTGACGTACATGCTTTTTTAGAAAAATATTCCAGGGATAACCCGATGCTTTAAAATATATCGCATTTATAGTAACTTTTATCCTCAAAATTTCATTCGAATCGCTAAAAGCATTTGGAAGAAAATTATAATAAGTTATAAAAAGATGAAGATTTTAACCCCCTGTAGCTACGAAACAAAGCACATTCGGACCTATGTTGATGTGAAAAATAAATCTTTTTACGTGAGGAATCTCCCCACGAGAGATGGCATATTTGTTTTGAAACACCCTGTATAATATATTTTAATACATATTTCTTCTTTGCATCTGCCCAGCTATTTAAAAAAGTCGTGTTTTTCTTGTACGGCACCACAGAGATAGATAAATGGTCGTAGTATTTGTTCGAAAAGCCGCGTAAATACGGCAGGTGCAGTGACGTTGGCAACACTGTTATCCTTCTATTATAGTTATCAAAAATTTGGACTCGAATGATTAAGTTGATTTTAATTTTATGAGTCCAAATTTCTTCTAACTCTATATGAAAAAACCATTGGATAATTACCCAATCAACAATCATTTCCACTGTCTTCTTGATATATTTTAAGACGTTCAAAAGTATTAAGGCTAGGGCATTTACAGTTTTGACTTACTCTGATAATTTATATATTTTTGAAAAAAAAATGATTTGGAATATCTCCCTATTTTTCTGTATACTGAATAAATTGTAAAAATGAATTAAGTGAATAATAAATCTATTTCAGCAGTATATACACTTGTAGATTGTGATACTCTATTTTATAAGCTTTTTTTAAAAATGATATAAAATTGTCATATTTGTATAGTGTATTTTAGTTTTCTAGTTTTTTGCATTAAATGTATTTTTCTGAAATGTTTCCATCATCCATCAACGTTTAACAATCTATCATATATTTTTGTTAAGAAAAATACAAACTTTGTGATACCAGAAAAATAAAACACACTGTATTTATATAAACTTGTTAAAAATATTGTATAAAATTTTATTAAGTGTAAAAATTTAAGACGTTTGAATGGAATATTAAGTTTTATTTTAGCTTTAAGTATATGCAATTATTTATATTTATCTATAGTTTAATAAAAAGAAACTTTTAATATACATAAGCGTACTTATATGATGCTTAGAAAAATCTTTATAAATATTACTATTATTCTTATATACTAGAACAGGATATCCAGGAAGTTAATACGAACCCTGTCACTATTACTAAGGTGGACAGGTAGGAACATGTTTTCTGATGCCTTGTACATTTACTTTTTGTTCATAATAAAGTTTTTGCAAAAAAATATTGTCCTAGTTTTTTAGACTAGTGGATATATTAAGGCTCAAAGTGTAACTCATGTCTGCACATATTTCATTTCCATTTGATCACATGGTATTATATTTGCTGTCCTCCATTCATGCAGCTGTGCAGCTCTGAACTGTTCGAGAACGCGAAACTCTCACTCGATTCAAATGAGTCATAAAGTTCAGACCTGTTCCGCGCCATATGAAGACACCAGGCTATTACGCACAGGTCCTTTCAGAACCGTTCTCGAGTAGCCCAGGGCGTAAAGCACTGGAACTTGAAGTTCGCGAATGGAGGACAGCAATTGTAGGAAAAATGTTCTATTAACTGAAACTTTATTTTTATGATTAAACATGTCATTTTGATAAAAAAAAACAAAAATATGACAACATCAACATGATATCAACTTAAATAAAAAAAAAATACTTAATACTAGGTATATTTAAATTTTATACAACAGCTGTAATAAAAAATATTTTTTTAAAAATAAACTCACCGGCAAAAAAAACCGGCCACTAAAAACTAGACCCAATTTCAAAGTTGGATTTCTCGCGAACCACTTATTAGATTTTGATGATTTTTCTTTTAAATTGTAAATTAATTCCTTTTTAACGGATGCTACGTCAGAAATTTTTATTCCGAATTTATTTTGAGCATATACAGGGCACAACAATAAGACGAAGTTTTTTGCCCGAACTTTGTCTTTTGAAATTAAATCACATTGTAGCCTCAACTTTTGTGAGCATTTTGTTGTTTTAATCACCATATTATCTCTTTTTGTATTGGAGATATGCTGTTTTAAAACGAACGTCTCGGAAAAATTCAGAATTCATTTCGGAAAAGGCAGAAAGTTTTATGTGTAAATAATCAAGGCGACACATAGGCGAAAACGGATTTATGAGTATTTGCAATACGAGAAAAACGGTTGTCAAATTAAAAAATGCCATTATGTGTAACGGATGTTGCTCGTATTGTGACTTTAATTGGGGATGGCCAAAGTCAACATTGTCTCCAATACCCTGGGTATATTTCGAACAACAGTCCAGGATGCCTGGAATCGGTATATGGAACCGGGAAATTTCACCAGGCCAGTGGACACTAGATATTAATCCCTTAAAATTTCTTTACCTTTTTTTTAATTTTCTTGTTTTAGTTAGTTTACGTCTACGTTTTGATGTTTGATTTGATTTTAAAGCTTTTTTCAAGCCGTTTGTTTTAAAGCAGCTTATCTCCAATACAAACAGAGATAATGTCGTGATTAAAAAAAAAACAAAATGCTCAAAAAAGATGAGGCTACAATGTCATTTGATTTAGCAATAGCTACTACAGCTGCTGCACCCTACAGGGTGTTACAAAGTTTGGGCAAAAAACTTCGTCTTATTGTTGTGCCCTGTATATGCTCAAAATAAATTTAGAATAAAAATTGCTGACGTAGCATCCGTTAAGAAGGAATTAATTTACAATTTAAAAAAAAATCATCAAAATCTAATGAGTGGTTCGCGAGAAATCCAACTTTGAAATTGGGACTAGTTTTTAGTGACCAGTTTTTTTTGCCGGTGAGTGTATATCATCACTATCAGATATAAAAATAAATTTTATAACTATTTCTATGTAATTTGTTGCATCAAATTAATCACTTGAAATTAATAAGTAGTTGTTTTTGACTGATATTGCAATTTTTAATAATCTTTATAACACAATAAACGATTATTGTTAATTCTTTTCTCCATTTGGGATATTATCTGATTTATTTTTACTATTTCTTTCTTGTTCTAAAGTTTCAACTAACTTTTTTACAAACGGATTGCTAAATTTCCCTTCAAGGGCATCAAAATACTCCTGGCACTTCAAAGCTTCCCCATCACGCTTCTCATAACATGCTGCAGTAAATAAAAGGTCAAATCTGTCTAAATCTTTAACAAATCTGGCTTCTGGAGTTTCTTTGGCTTCATACTCTTTGTATAAATTATAAATAAGCAAACCAGGTTGTCCTAGAAAAGACATTTTTAAAAGAGAACTACTTAAGTGTTTAATAAATTTTACCTATATGACCAGTAATTTCTTTCATGGCTTCATCTTCTTGTTTATGTTTCTCATCTTCGGGAACATTGTCATGAGGAGTTATATCTCCTACTATAGCTTCGGCTAAATCATGCACTAAACACAACTGGAGGCACTTTAACCTATCAAGTTTGGAATTATTTCCAAGGAGGAAAGTCATTAATCCCATTGAATACATGTGACCTGTAATATTAATATTTTTTTACAAATGAAGAATATCTAATACATAAATTAATTTAGTATATCACACCTGAAATAGTTTCATGATCCTTTATTTTACTAAATATCCATCCCCTTCTAGGTAGATGTTTGAGGCTGTTTACAAATTCTAAAAATTTTAGCACTTCCTTTGGTTCCAAATTGTCCATTATGTCTATATGTGGTATAGTCGTGGTATAGTTATGGCTAGAACAAAATACCCCAAAATAGCACAATATTCACTACACATTCACTAACCAGTGCCTTCTATTAAAAGATCAGCCTACGGGCGACATTTATGACGTCACGCTAGTTAGATATAACGGATTAATAAATATGTTGTAGAATACATGGAAAACATAATTATTCCTCAGATTTTTGGTTTGTATTTTAAAAATGATATAGTTTAAATGAAATATACATAATATACAGTTAATAACTACAACATATACCTATTTATAGTAATAAATACTTTGGCAAATAAACTATGAACCATACAAATGCAGCAAATGTTGTACAATGTACAAATAATATATAGGTACATAAGATAATGGGTAAAATGTAAATATATTTTAAATTTTGGGGTTTGAAAATCGATCTAATTTAACAAAAAACATTTAATATCTACTAATAGTGATGTATTATCATTTGCATTCACAAAATTTATATGTATATTTTGCAAGTATCAATGTTCGAAAAAATTATATTTACAAATAATACAATATTATCTAAAAAAGGCGTCAGCGATGGCTATGAACTGGATCGCTGGCATTTTATATGTTAAGTTATTCTAAAATTTTTGATTTTCTTGGGATTTTAGGTTCAGGAAAAACGCTGATTAAGTTTTCATTTGGGTTTTCATTATTTTTATTTGGTTTAAAAAAAACGTTTCGGCTAACTATAGCCTTAACAGTGTTGTGTCATATAAGAGAAAAATAGTGTCGAATATAATCCAAAAATTACATATACAATATAATTCACACCTCATAATGTTTATTGCAATTAATAAACTAATATAAACTTATCAAAAGATGATACATATTTTTTTAAAATTATTATTCTTAACACTAAAATTACCTACATTGACTATGGGTACGCAGTAAACATTATGTGCGTGGTGTGAATATTTTATATGTAATTTTTTGGATTATATTCGACACTATTTTTCATATGACTTTTAACTTGCTGATGGAGGCTATAATGTTAGCCGAACCGTTTTTTTAAATCAAATAAAAATAATGAAAAAACAAATGAAAAATCAATCGCGTTTTCAGAACTAAAGGCCAAGAAAATCAAAAATTTAGAATATTTAGAATGAAGGTTCAAAGAATATCAAATTTTCCAGGATTGTAAAATTCTAGTTAATTATTTTATGTGTACAGTTATTTAGGGAATGTCATCGATGTTCATTTCCAAGCCAGCTAGACGCCGATTTTTTCGATGATACGGTATAATTCTTACGTAAAATGTAAATAACATTAGACCAATTAAAACAAAAGAAATATGAATTTCTTAGTATTTTTAGTAACTTACCTTTATTCTTAAAACTTAATTTTGTATTATGCAAATATACCAATTTTATTGTTATTTTATTCATATTGTATTCAGCCATCACTTAAATATTTGATATTAATTTGGTATTATAAATAATCAATACTATTCATTAAAAATTACTGAACAAATATTGTTATGCTTAACATACATTATATATTATCAAACAAAAACACATTCTTCTTTTAAACTGTATCAGTCTTGTCTTTACAAAAATCTTTTTTAAATTTGAACTCAAAATAATAATCTTTTCATGATCTCTAATACACATATTCTTTGTTATTTTTCCCTAGTTCATAATACCTACTTACGTGTTTGAATCTATCGAAGCTAAACCAGCAACACTTAGGAGTGGAGATTCCACAATATGAATAAAATAAACATAATTGTCCAGTTTTTCATTAATACCATCATGGGAGAATATTATTTTTAAATTTATTAAAGATATTTTCAATAAAATTCTCTTGATTTATAACTCGTACCCACTTTTCTTGCTCTTCGGACACTTTAGGCTGCCTAGTATAATAACTATCCTTTCCACCAGGAACACAACAAAGATGAGGCATAGCACCAATAACACTCCACTTAAGCTTTATTGATGAATTGTTAGAGTCTTAAAAACACACACAAAAATCACGATAAGCAAAAAATGTATGGGCACTTTTAGGTTAAATCACTTGCACAACGTGTAATTTTAAAATTTCTATTTTTTATGCGAAACCGAGTGACCATATATCTGGTAGTAGTTTATGTCACTTCAACACCAAAATAATTGTTTTTTGCACTACAATAATAAATAATACCAAAAATCAAAGAGTTAAAACCAAAAATCAACCGACAAAATATGAAACAGAATCTAACCCAATATCTAAGTATGTACAGCTGATGAAGTAAACAAAAGTCCGCCCGTAGGCTGATCTTTTAATAGAAGGCACTGCACTAACTAACCGGAACGGAAAAACTTATTTAAAGATATTAGAAAGTAGAGATGGGCAAAAGTAACCGGTTTTTTGAATAACCGGTATTTTCCTCTAAAATAACCGGTTATTTAAAGGTAGTTTTTTTTTCACCAGTTAACCTAATAACCTTGCATTACGTTCAATAACCTATAGCCGGTTATTTTTTAAAAAATCGTACTTGCTTAAAACAAGTAACAATTAAATATTAGCTGTTTGAATGGTAAATTTCGAAGAAGCGAACGGCACGGATCTTCCAGGGCCCCAATTCTTGAAAACCGGGGAGTAGAACAACCGAGAGAAAGGGGGCGTGGTTCTATTAAGAGACGCAGAATGGTATTCTTGAACGTCTTTCTATTGAACGTTAATAGAAGGACGGCTCCCTCATGCATCTACTGGGTAAATTAAAGGGATTAGCCGTCAGGGAGGTATTTTTTGACGGTTTGGAGCATTATAACCTTACTTTATTCTCTTTCTTTACAAATTTTGTGTTGTACAGTGGAATTTTACTATTTAATAATGAATAATAATAATCTTCAAAGATTTTTGTTGTGGGAAGAAATTATGGAAGATGTTAGAGATGCTGAAGAGTTTTACAATATAAGAAGAGAACTACTTCGAAGGTCGAATCCCTTCGATTTGTCTGATGAAAATTCATAAAGTTATTTAGACTTACAAAACCTCTATGTGAAAACTTAATAAATATTGTAAGACCATTCGTTCACCGAACCCCCTAGAAGATCAGCATTAACAGTGCAAAACAAAGGTAATGAAAAGAAGTAGTCAAATTAGTAAAAGTAATTAATTAATGCGTTAGAAAAAGTAAACCTACATACCAAAATATTTTTTTGTAACATGATAGGTATACTACCTATGTAACTTTGGCATGTTATCATATTTAGGTCTTGGCAGCTTTGAGCTTCTTTGGCACTGGAAGTTATCAAGAAATTACAGGAGCAAAAGCAATTATGTTGGCATAGCCAACCATCAGTGAAAATAGATGTATCAAAGAAGTTTGTAATGCAATGAATCAGCCTCAAATATTGAATAACTGGATCCATTTTCCCAGAAACATAGAGGAAATGCAAGCTCTTCGAACTAGGTATGCAAGCTATTGGTTTCGCAATAATGACTATAATGTATGTAATGCATATACCTAGGGAACTTTACTATAATAAAAAGGCTGTTTTGACAATGTTTACATTTGTTACATATTTGGTTGATCCGTAAATCCATCTGCTTTTTAATAGTAGTATGTAAAAAATAATTAATTTTTTTAGCTTTTTCCAGAAGTACCAGTTTCCAGGGGTTATTGGTTGTGTGGACTGCACACATATCAGCATTGTAGCTCCACATACAGATGATCCTGAGTTTCCAGAATATATTTATGTTAATCGAAAGAATTATCATTCGATAAATGTTCAGTTGGTATGTCAACAAATCAAATATAAAAATGATCCATTATTTTGTAAAATTTACATCTAATAAGATTTTAATTGTACGTTATATACTTACTGTTTTTTAGATATGTGATAGCAATTTGAAAATTATGAATGTAAATGCACAATTTCCTGGAAGTACTCATGATGCCAATATATGGCGACATTCACAAATCTCAACATTAATGGAGAACATTTATAGACGAGATCCACAGAATGTGTTTTTTCTTCTTGGAGACTCAGGTATTCTAATAATTATGCATAATAATACAATATGTCTAGCGACAGGGTTTAAGCAGGGCAAAGGGTCTAAATTTTGAATGATAGTGAATCCTAATAAAAGTTTATGTTTCAAATTAAACCCTAAGCTGCACACTACAACATCTGATTTAGGCTTTTAAATTGCATGCCAATTGTAATAAATATAACAATACTTATAATTTTTTTTAGGATATCCAACAAGACCATGGCTTTTGACCCCAATTCAAAATCCCACTGCTGGACCAGAAGAAAGGTTTAATGATAGACTCTGTAGCATTAGAGCGACTATTGAAAGATGTAATGGTGTGCTAAAAAACAGATTTAGATGTCTCTTAAAACATAGAGTCCTACATTATTCCCCTACAGTGGCAGGTCAAATAATCAATAGTTGTTGTGTCTTGCACAACATGTGCATTGCAAATAATGTTCCAGAACCACCAGCAGAACAAGAAAATGAAGATATTGACTACGGCATTTATGCAGTAGAAAATGTACCAGCTGAAAACATTGGAAGAGTAAACCCCGATTTGGCAGCAGCTAGAGTTCTTCAACAAAATATTATTGATAATCATTTCCGCCAATAAAATATTTTTTAAAACCAAATAAAATCTTTTAAAAAAAACCTTTATTAACATAACAAATATTTACATAGGTATTAAGTATGCCTATCTATGCATATAATGAAGTTTTATGAAAAATGAAAATCACAAAAAATGAGATCAAGGATATCTAAACATGAAAAAGTTAAGACTAAAAACTAAATAATAAACTTTAGGACCCGGCACTGGGTAAGGGTAAAATATGTCTAATTGTAATGGTAAACAGTGCTGGATCCTTCTGAATAAACCAAACAAAAAAACAAAACAATTCTACAACAGTCTTAATAACAAACTATTTTACTGCTTTTGACTTTGTGTTATCGCATTTTTAATAACTTGAATGTCTATTGCAATTTGTTTGTGGGCATTCGCAATGGTTTCAAGTGCCAGAGCTTTTCGGTCATTGTACCCACTTTTCTGTAATGAATCATTTTCCAACAGCAACAGTTTTCTTTGTTTGTATTCTTTTTCCGAATTATTGTTTTCTTCAGTTAATTTCAATAATCTATCATTATTTCTTAATGAATACTCCAGCCTGCCAATTTTAGTCCTTTTTTGGCGGCTAAAACTCACCTTTGAAGTTTCTGTCTTTTCCGCATCAACTCCAAACTTCATTGAAGGTGATTGTGGCTTGTGATTTTCTGTAAGGCAATAATCATGGACATTGTTGCTTTTAACCTAAAAAACAGTTTATAATTTAATATGGAAATTACAAAATATGCTATAACAAGTAATATGCCATGTAAAATCGCAACTGCTTTGATCAAAGTTTACTTACAGAAGTAGACGTGTTAGCATATTCACTCGCATAACTCCTGGTAATAGACTCTAAGTCTGGGATATTTTCTTCCAAGATATAATCTGTGGTGTTTGATTGATGGCTTATATCGAGGTTTACATCATCAGTATTTTCAAAGATGTCATCACTCTCAAAAAATTAAACCACGGCCTCTGTCTCCAAAATATTTTTTATTGCCACTAATTGCAACTGGTGTGATAATATTTAAAACCTTTCTTCGATTCGGGAAGATCATCAGGTGGAAGATAAGGTGGTGGACCACCCCCAGTGCCAGCCATATATTTCTTTTGGTCAGAATGTCTTGATTTCGTGTTCTTTTTTATATCCACCCAGCTCTACAAGAACAAAATAAGAATAAGTACTTGAAAATGAAACTAATATTTAAGAGCATAACAAGAGAATAAACATTATAAAAATACTGTGTTTTAACCACATAATATCTTTAACAATGGGGAACAAAAACTCAGAAAACAGTGTTTGTTTGTAATAATAAAGAGTGCAGTTTAGTACGGTAACCCTATTAATAGTCTCTTTATATTATACTTGCCCAGGGAAGTTTTCTAATTAATTATATTTTATATTATATGTTCTTGATTATGTTCTTAGTGTTGCTGTTGACTTACCTTTCTCCATTGTTTCCAATCTTTGGCAGGGCCTTCCGGAACACTATTTAGGATATTCGTTATCTCCTGCCAGTTTTTTAACATTTTTTCTCTGGTATACATTGGAGTTAATTTTCCAGTATACATTTCTTTTCGTGCAGAAATAAATTCTACCAATATTTCTTTTTGTCTTGGTGTTATTGGATTAGACTTAATTCTTTTCCTCTCCTGTTCCATAACTCATACTTTGGGAAATAAACTAAATTAAATAGCACAAATCACGAGAAATTCTAAACAATATTAAACAACCAAATAAATAACCTTCAAAAATCATGTGGAATAACCCTGAACCGATGACAATTGACATGACAGATTCCTACTGTCAAAAAATTCGGCTTTATGATTGGTCAAGAAATTTGGCATCACTGTGGCTACGTTCCCCTGTTCGATGCTCCCTCCTTTATACTCCAGAATACGGAAATGTGATCTTAAGAGAACGGCAATAGAGTAGAAGCGTAGAACGATCCCTGACGATTGTTCTATTCTATTGCCGTCAAGAATTGGCGCCCAGATATTACGACGATAACGGGAGATCCCGCTCCCGCTCCCAAAAACGAAAATATATGACATCAAACATCAAATGTCAAAATTAAATCAGGCATCAGGCGAACCCTGATGATAATAATCAAAACAACGGCCGAATGGCCCTGACAGGTCAGGCCGTAAAACAAAGTACTAATGGCATAGACTACTACTAGCCACCAGCTAGCCAAAGTGATACGAACCTAACTTCAAATAGATTCTCTAAATTCTATATTTAAATTTTAACCGAACTTGAACGGATTTTTAACGGTTCTTCAAAAGTTTTCCATGGTTTCGCCCAGTTTCACCCACGTTTTCACCGTAAATATATTTTTGTTGTAGTTTGAAGTCTCTCTTGAAGCTTAGACTAAAGAATACAAAATTGAAGTTCAAGTAATGAATGAAGATAATCTTTCATTATCTATTCATTCAGTCTCCTTATTTTTCTTTGGTATTTGATTAAAATAACTTGGTTGTAGGTGTAGAACTTGTGAGTTGTGTGGTTTATTTGAACGTTAAGTAATTACTAGTTTTAATATCATATCCATCTCTACTCAAAAAAGTGAGGTTAGCATTTTTATTTAAATTCATTTTGTATATATACATACTTACATTGCTACAATCTCTATTTAATCATGCGATTTAACTAAGTTTATTATCTAAATTTGGGAAGTAGACCTGGATGGAGTGAGGTAGAAATAAGAAACCTATAGGAAAACTAAATATTTAGTTTTGCTAGGTTAGGTTATTTGAATAACCGGTTAATTTGTGTCGGTTAATTTTGTCAAGTTATTATTTTTTAAAGATAATTCCGGTTAACCTATAACCGGTTTTTTACCAATAACCGCCCATCTCTAATAGAAAGTTTTGGTAATGGTGTGGATCCGGTGGCTGACCTTGAAACGAGTTTTTGCTGCATATAGTCACAGACACTACGCATGCGCACATCTTCGATGTTGCCAGATTGCAAGTTATTTTGGAATTATTTTCAGTAGAAAACAAATATGTGCTTTTCAGTGTTCTTTTTGTCAATATATACCGTATGATCGAAAAACGGCGTTCAGTTGGCTGGAAAATGACGATTGAGGACATTTCCCGCCATAAAATGACAGCGATCTTCATTTCATAGTCATCGCTGACGCTATTTTTTCAATCATAGTACGCATGATATTATTTATATTATTATTTTAATATTTCGCACAACACGTGAACGCTTATTATGTTTTTTATTATTTTTCATAGTCAATAAAATTAAATAGAAATAAAACTCTAGATTCCTATAATTAATCCCTATTGCTCTAGAATATTATGCTACGTTAAAAGGGCTTGATTAAAAATTCGGGAAATTAAAAGGGATGTGTCCAAGTTTTTTCTTTTTTTTAATTTTTAAATGCAATAACTCCATGTCATGTTCATAATAGTTTTTTTAACATTCCATCAACGCTACGGAGACCTTAAAAGGCCTTTTAGCCTCCGTAATTAAATTGTAGAAGTCAGCTTCAGCAACATTAACAGTTACCTTGTTTAATTCTGCTTATACATATATTGCATTTTTTTCTGCTACCTTAAGATTTCTCTATTCTTACACCTATATATGATTTATAAACCATATTTTCCTAATGGAAGGATGGAATAGGATATGCAAAATTAAGATATTTTAACATTTATTTTCCAGACAAAGCATAATATAGTATTAAGATTAAGACATAACAAATATTATAAGAAAGATCTTAATATAAATCACAAACTAACTAAGTCTTAATTTGGTCTTGTATAAACACAGGTATAAAACTAATAACACAGATAACACATTATATGTTATCTGTGCTAATAAGATCAAAACTCAACCTTCACCATATTGTCAAGATTTGGCATTATAGGAAACAAGAAATTACAGTAAATTAAGAAAAGAATATCAAAGTACACGATATTAAATACTGCAATGTATTCTACGACACAAACCATCTCCCTTCTAAAGAGAAAAAGATAAAACATAGAGCTTATTTTTGTCTTATCACCACACTCTGTGTCTCTCTTGTCATCGACAACGTACAGTCACAGCTTACAGAATAATATAGCTTGGACACTCGCCAATTTTTCCCACGCTCGAATTTAAAACGCCCTACTCCGACGATGCGCTAAATGAATTAAGCGACCCACAGTCAGCCTCATTCAGTCGATGCATAGCCTCCACCGGTGGCGCGTAGGGCCGTATTACGGAAGATTTTAATTCGAATTTTTTTCTTATATTTAACCATAGGTATTTGTGCTTTTATTTCAATTTATTTTTATTATTGATGGAATGGGAAAAGGTTTTCCGGGATGTGCGGCTGCTGGTTGCACAAATAATTATGGAAATAATTCAAAATATAGTCTGTTTAATTTTCAATTCAATTCAAAATTAATGTTCAATTCAAAAGTATATTCACACTTTAGAGCTTTTTCAAAACGGTGAAGACTACTTATTTGGAAGCTTGCTAATGCCAAGTGACCATTTTTTTATTTAGTTTCCTCATTGGAGGCTATTTTTAAGCTTTTATTTAACTTGCTTTGTATGTAACTATCTATGTATGTATGTACATGTTTGTTCAGGGGCAAATCTTGTAAAGCTAAATTAAAACCACTTCCTTTTATTGTAGGAGATTGAAATTTGGCATGTAGGTTCAGTCCCGATGACAATACATTTTTTGCAAGGCATGACCCGAATTTTTGACAGCTGTCGAAATGGCGGCATTTTTGAGGTTTTTGATTTTTTTAAAATTCTATTTATGAATGGATCGGGCTGAAATTATATATATATATATATATATATATATATATATATATATATATATATATATATATATATATATATATATATATATATATATATATATATATATATATATATATATATATATATATATATATACAGGTTATTAACCTCGACAGTTACTTATAGAGAGAAACAGAATGGCAACACTGCCTATTGAGGAACGTATGCATTATTGATTTTCTGCCGACTCGTCCCGTCGCGTCGTCTATCGACGAGCGGGCCAAGGTTATTTCAACCATAAAACTCTTGCCGCGAGTAATGAACAATTTAACAACCTGTATAGGTATATTGTGGGCCATATACATATGAAAAAAATATATGGGCTGCCATCTTGAAAAAATGACAGGTTTAATGACATGTCAAAATTTCAAAGTCAACCGATTTTCATAAAAATTGATATATAGGATGGCCATGGGCTAAAATGAAAGAAAAAATTTGAGCTGTCAAATTTGACGGCTGTCAAAAAATTTCAAAGTTGTCCGATTTTGATAAAAATTGATATATAGGACGGCCATGGGCGAAAATGAAAAAAAAATGTTGAGCTGTCAAATTTGACAGTTGTCAAAAAAATTTCAAAAGTTGTCCGATTTTGATAAAAATCGATGATGGCCGATGGGCTAAAATGAAAGAAAAAGATTTTTGAGCTGTCAAATGTGACAGCTGTCAAATATTTCAAATTTGTCCGATTTTGATAAAAATCGATATATTGAATGCCCCCTACCCCATAGTCGGTTTTTCATTTATTTGTCTCACATTTGAACTGTCAAATTTGACAGCTGTCGTTTTTTAAGTTCTCCTTTTTAATGAAAATCGATATACATATTATTAGGATACCCATAGAAAGTTATTTAAGAAAAAAATTGAGTTTAAGTGTGTGGCACTGAGAAACCAGCATAACTAAAAAGTAGAAAATAAATTTTATAAAAAACCTTTTTTAAAAACAAGCTTTTATTTAAATACACTAAAAAGAATAAAATAAACTCTTTTTCTTTAAAACTTTTATTATGAACTTAGAACGTCATTACACAATTTTAATATTAGATATATAAAAGCTTGTCGCGAGATTTCTCTACATCGATAAACAAGTAAATTAACTAAAACCTGTGTCTACCCTGTCTCATTTTTCAAAGTTTGTGTTATGATGAACCACTAGACCAGGAATTAGAAGATAAAGTTGTCATGCCAGATTTTTTATGAGTGCAACTGTACACTCAAATCTCGCGACAAGCTTTTTATATAATATTAAAATTGTGTAATGACGTTATAAGTTCATAATAAAAGTTTTAAAGAAAGAAAAGTATTTTATTCTTTTTAGTGTATTTAAATAAAAACTTGTTTTAAAAAGTTTTTATAAAATTTTTCAGAACAATTTTGAAGAACTTTCCTTAAATAAGAAAATATATTATGTAAATTCGTTAAATTATTTCAGACAATTAAATTCAACCATCAATCAAAATTTTCCTATAATGTATTTTTTGTTAAAATTATACGCAAAAGTTAGAATTTATTATACCTTAAAGAATATTAATAAGAACTTAAATGTAGCAAACAAAACCGAAAGCTCCTAATTTAGAAACATTCGTAAATAACGATAAGTAATCAATGTACCTATTTCATTTTGCTGTTATTTCTAGAAATAAATTAATTAATTTGTTTTTTAAATGTTTTCTTTGAGAATGCATATTTATTTAAAGTCAACAATTTAAAAAACGTGTATCTAAATTATGTTCTAGCACCAGTCAGATAATTTTTTACGTCACGTGTAAAATTTTTTTGAATACATCTCTGGGCTGACTGGCGCTTACGCGGCTCTTGGTTTTGGCGAGAGAGCTCGCCGCTCCAGTGTTCCCCCTCTTTCGAATCGCAAATCCAAGCGTAAAAAGATCAAAGCGGCACGCTACACTGTCCGAGCTGGTTTTTACTTAAGCTGTGGTACAGTTACGGCAGCTTTGAGTCAGTAGCGTGCGGCTTACTTTATTTTATTCTTTTCTTGAGTGATATATTTTGTTTTTTTTTAGTTTTATTTTTGTTTATTGTGTGATATATTAGGTTTTTGTAGTTTAGTAGTACAATGGAAGTCCGAAATTCTTTTAGTTTTAATACTCAGTCATTGTCTACGGCATTCAAAAGTAATTTTATTATTAGGTATCCTGCAAAATGACAAACAAGATTAATTTCTAAATTACTGTTTTTCTGATTATCCGTATCTATTTTTAATTTTTATGGATAGCTCATGACAATTCAGAGAGAGAAAAGAAAAGAGGTCTCGTTTTTTATTAATTATTAAGGTCTGCTGTTTTTTAATAAGATGTTTGCCAGATCATTTTGGCAATTTTCAGTACCCGTATGTAATATTCGGACACAAAGTTTTTTAAATGTTCTTCCTAAACTGGATGAATTTATCCTGGATGGGACTAATGACAGGTTTACAAGATATTGGAATAAGAAGAATTACAGGAATTACAAAGATAAAGTTGTACCAGATTTTATGAGTGCAACTGTACACTCAAATCGCTTGTCCGCTAAGCTTTTATATAATATAAAATTGTGTAATGACATAATAAAAGTTTTAAAGAAAAAAGCTTATTTTTCTCTTTTAATGTATTTAAATAAAAGCTTGTTTTTAAAAAGTTTTTTTTCTTAAATTTATTTTTTACTTTTTAAGTTATGCTGGTTTCTCAGTGCCACACACTTAAACTCAATTCTTTTTCTTAAATAACTACTTATGGGCATCCTAATCATATGTTTATCGATTTTCATAAAAAAGGAGAACTTAAAAAAACGACAGCTGTCAAATTTGACAGTTCAATTGTGAGACAAATAAAATGAAAACCGACTATGGGGTAGGGACAAATTAGGGAGCATCCAATATATCGATTTTTATCAAAATCAGACAACTTTGAGATTGTTTTGACAGCTGTCAAATTTGACAGCTCAATTTTTTTTCTTTCCTTTTAACCCATGGCCATCCTATATATAGATTTTTATCAAAATCGGACAACATTGAAATTTTTTTGACAGCTGTTAAATTTGACAGCTCAATTTTTTTTCCTTCATTTTAGCCCATGGCCATCCTATATATCGATTTTTATCAAAATCGGACAACTTTGAAATTTTTTGACAGCTGTCAAATTTGACGGCTCAAATTTTTTTTGACAACTTGGCTTTTTTTAAAATATAGCCAAACATTTATATTTAAATTCATCAGTTACTTTTCTTCCTTTAAGCTGATTTGTTAATTTGGTACAAAAATTGAATATTAACAAAATTTGCTATGTCCATTGATGGACATCATTTGTACAATAACCTACTTTAGATTGTTCATTAGATAATTTATTGGGTATTTCTTTAATTCTTGTTTTGTAACTCCTGGACTCCTGGCATGTTTTTTAATTTTTATTGTCTATTCTCTAAAGTTATATGTTTAATTGATTTTTCATTTTTACTTTTTGAGGAGTATGCGCGGTTAACGATTCATTTGTTTTTAGATAAAAGTATTGTGTAAATAAAATTCAGTTTCAGTCAATTACAGTATTTTTTTAATACGACCCTGTCTAGCAATAGTTTATTTTCTGGGAAATTTTTTGATACGTTTTAATCCGGCCCTGACCCGGCACCCATAATGGTGTTTTCAAGGTCAAATTTTATAGAAATTTTAAACAATGGGATCTGGGCAGAGTTAGCCTGCCGTGTGATTTATATGCCGTGATCAAAGTATATTATATTAGTAACATTATAGGTAAAATGTTACCTCTATCTCCCATTGACGTGTATTTTTCTATAAGACTCGTCATGGTAGTACTTCAATACATCAATACATATAATCAAAACTATTGTTGCCTGTAAATAACTAGAAATTAAATGACTTGAAAGAAATAAAATAATTCTAATAAGTTTAAAACCATTAAGAAAAAATCCGTAGATGATATAATTTTTAATTCTAATGTAAATATATAAATAAATGTTATTATTATTACAATTTTATATATCATTCCTTAATTTTGGATATCAAGATAAATCTGAAATTATAAAATTAATTATAGAATTTGTATTATTATTGATTAACACTCAAAAAAAAATTTCAACTGCAAATAATTCGAAAATAAACTGCAATTTGGCAACATCGACGATGTGCGCTTGCGTAGTATCGATGATCAAATGCAGCAAATATGGGCTTCAAGGTCAGCCACCGGATCCACACCTTTACCAAAGTTTTTTTTACATTTATTAAGGATGTTTCTAGGTTTCTAGTTTCTAGCTTCTAGTTTCTAGGGGGTCTTCTTTCTAGTTTCTAGTTTCTAGGGGGGTGACAGTGAAAGAGTGAAATAGGAAAATTGGAAACAGTCATTAGTGTCAATCCTGTCATCTCCTGACGACAAGTATGGCCGCCTAGACAAGGACAGCAATGTTTCTGTCTAACTATTGTCTAACTTCACAGTTTAGAATTGACAGATTTCAGAGACAACTTCAGATTTGTTCTAGAACAAATTTCGACGCCATTTTAATTCTCTCCGGTTAGTTTTGTTTTGTAAGCTTTAGCTTTGTTCCAGCAAAGCTAGTAGAACTGTTCTCAGACAGAAAATGAACTGCTTTACTGCGCAGTCGCACAAAATCTCGTTCTAAAACTGTTCCCTAATTTGCACCTGCTGGAACAAAACAAGTACACTGGTATTTATGAAAATTAAATATGACAGTACTGGTATTTATTTGAAAATTGTGTGGTTAGTGGTTATGTGTTATGTATCAAGGTTATGTATAGCGTAAAGTACGGTACGAGCATCTTTTACAATATTTATAAAACATCAAATATTCTATTTAAAAACTGATTAAAAGAGACGTATTAGTCTTGAAATTTTTAATAAAATATGGGTAAGTTAATTAGCTATGAGGTCACATCTATTTTATACGGATTAAAGATGTACTGGTAAATAATTATTAATGGAAGATGTTATCTATAAATAAAATATGTGCTATAACACATTGAAATTTTAATATACTGTTTTTTAGCAAAGTTTATTATTATCGACAATCAGCTTATAAGAATAGAAGACAGTGAAGCCAAAACTATCAATCATGACAATGCAACTGAAACTGTTAGTGTGGAAGAAAGCTGCATAAGTGATAGTGCGAGTACCCCATTGAAAAGGAAACATTCTGATGAAACAAAGAGTTATAAAGAGTGGTCTCCAAAGGCTACGAAAATATTAATTCATTTATACAAAGAATATAGGAATCGAGTGGGCTTGTATGAAATGAGGAATCTAAAAATGATGTTCGACAAAATTTCCAATGTCATGAGGGACGATTATAATCTAGAATATTCGTCAGCAAATTGCTCCAATAGATGGAAAGTATTAGAGAGAAGATATAAAGATTTCATTGACGATCAAAAAAAAACAGGCAGAGGAAAAAAATATTTTGAGTACTTAGACGAAATGACTGATATATTTGGCAATAAAAAGAATATTTATCCTAAGCTATTATTAACAGCTAATTCCCAAAGTAGAAGTAGTTCTACAGCAGGCGCAGAAAGAGAAAATACAGACATTACTGGAATAGAAAATAACAATGATTCACAAAATGCACAAACAACTGATGAAGTTACAGAGATAACATTCAAAAAAGCAGAGAAAAAAGTCACCCCATTGAAACAGTTGTCACCGAACACAAAATGGAGGAAGAGTAATAAAAAATATGACACTCTGATGGAATTAAATAAACAGAAAAAGGAGTATTACCATCAAAAAACACTATATTTACAAAATATGCTTGAGGAAAAGAAAGCCTATCATAAGGAAAAACTACTTTTAGAAAAAGAAAAAATAGCAGCTATAAAAAAGCAAAATATTTTACTAACTAGATTAATACATAAAACATCGAAGTGAAAGGTTGTGTTACTCTAAATAATATGATTAAATTTTTGTTATTCAGTGTTATAAATTTGTTTGTGTTATGTTTTGTATTTATTGAATAAAGAGTTAGTTTGAGAATTAAAAGAATGAACATTTTCCCGTCAGATTTGCAATAATTTTTGATTATGATGTTTTATGTACTTATAAACATTTTTCACTTATTTAGTTACCTACTTACTATACTAACAGTGAATGAAAAACATAAATTTAAAATCTTTGAATTATATATTACTTTAAAAATTTAACATTCTGGATACATAATTTCTCATTTCAAGACCATTCCTGTCATCATAATGTCCATCTCCTTCGATTTCTAACAGAACTTCTTCATTACCGCCTTCATTAAGATTAGGGCCCTCTTCTACAGGAAACTCGTCATTCAGAGCTAAGTTATGCAGAACACAACATGCCCGAATAAAATGACAGATATCCTCGATACTTCTTAATTTAACATGGTAAAGTTGACGAAACTTTTGCTTCAGTATACCAAAACAATGTTCTATTATGTACCGTGAACTGGCCAATTTTCTGTTATAATTTGACTGCACAGCTGTTAGTTCACCTCTATCTCTATAGGGAGTCAGTAAATACCGAGTGCAAGGGTAACCACCATCTCCTAGTATATACCTATTTCTACCACATTTTTCTTCTAGTTGAGTTGACAGTGGGGAAGTGCGAAACACACGGCTATCATGAACTGATCCAGGATAACCAATGAAAATATCCCTAATTTTCCTTTGGTGGTCACACACTACTTGCATCTAAAAATAAATCCAATACTGGTATAAATATGTAGGTCTACTTTGTTTATTAAAGAAAATGATTAATATTATATTAAGACAAATAAATGATCATTATAGATTATTTCTGAAAACAAGCTAGGCAAAAGTTTTCATTTCAGGAAAATGTGTAATGCTAACAAAACTTAAATTAGACAAAATCGGAAAAAAACTTTCAATAATATGTACAAATATATTCTACAAAACTTTTCCAACTCTTAAATTTTATGTATGTCGTGTTTTGGCTCTATTTGTACACTATATTTTACATTATAGCTATGCTTAATACAATTTTGCCATGCAATGTCCTATGGATTTGTTATTTTGTTAGTAAAAATAAGTTGTAGAATTAATATATATATATAGCCCTGTATATAAAGCATGTTCCATTTAAAAAGCACTCTGTGCATAGCGTACACCTTTTGTTTTTGGTTTTAATGTTTTTTTAAACCTTGTTTTTGAACTCTAGGGAAAAAATACATCAATTGGCTATTTTTGGATATTTTCAAAAATACAAGGAGGGTAAAAGATAAGCCCCTGTTAGGTACTCTTTAGAACACCCTGTCCATATATGATTATTCTGTACAAAATATTGTAAAGACTTACCTGAATAGAAAAAAAATGTTTCCGATTGAGGTACGAATCAGCATCTTCAGAAGGTTTATCAATTTTTATGTGTGACCCATCTATGACGCCCACAACACCAGGAAAGCCTCTTGCTTCAAAATGGCCTTCAATAATATTTTTTTCTTCATTAGATGGCCATGTTATTAAGTCTCTTCCTAGATTACTCAAAAAAGCAGTTACTCTTTTTATAATTCTGAAAAGAGAACTAATGCTTATATTGAATCTATCAGACACATCTCTAAAGCTTGCTGTCTGATGACCCGCAAACCATAGAAACACTAAGATATGATACTCGGCATCTAATTTGCCAAATCCACCACTATGCCCTATATTAAATTGGTCACTTTGTCGAAATCGTTCAACAATACCTTGAAAAACATTTCTTGAGACGCGAAAATGTTCCAAAAAAACTGTATTATTGTACTGAGGCACAGTCTGTTCAACATAATTTTCATTCTTTGGTCGAGGTTGTGGTAGATTTTCTTCGTCAGAAGAACTAGAACTACTAGTTAAACTGGAACTAGATGAAGATATATCAGAAATCATTTTAACTTTTTCACAGAAACACTAAACGAATTAACAAGACAATTTCCAACATTTTATACACAGAACACAGAAAGTTTTATCGAATATACATAAAGAATAAACATAACCCACTTTTATAAATAACACAAAAGCGCATGCCCAGAACTTGCTAAATTCTTCCTTTTTGATGGAATTGTAATAACTGTTCTGAAACCGTTCCGATTTTAAAATTCCACTTGCAGGAACATAATGTTTGAAGTTCCAAGTTACTACCAGTTCGCAAAATTTGTTGCTGGAACACATTTTCTATATTGCGCACGAGCATCGCGTGCTAGAACAGTTCTGTTACTCTGCTGGAACAAAGCTCTTAACATCTTTGAGTTAACATAGAGTCAAGTTAAAGACTTCTGAAGTTATTTTTGTTATATAATTTATCTCATATTTCTTACTATTTAACTATATTGAATTAGTTTCTTATTAAACTAAGGGATATTTGTTGAATAAAAACACTTGTTTCTTAATAATTTATTAAAATATTAAAAAAATGCATGATTTTATAGTTCATCTAATTATGTGCCTACCAGATAATTTCAATATAAAATAAGTTTTGTATGATATTTTATACTGGAGGGAATAAATACAAATAAAGACAAATCATTTAATTAATTTAAGAAGCATATTCTACTGAAATTTTAATAAAAACCATCCATGTGTATTAAAAAAAGTTAAAATCGAGGCATCCAAGAGCAAAAAATTCTCGATCGTGATTGGTCAGTTTCGGTTGTGTGGAAGTTTTGAATTTTATTCTCGTTCGATGTTGCCGGATTGTTAAAAAATGTCGAAAATCTTTTTCTCTATGTGATTTTTGTAAAATTGTATTAGTTTAAATTGATTACTGGCACTATAGTAAGAGTCATTTCTATATTTATATTTTTAATAAAACAAGTACCAGTACTGTTGTTTTGTAGAAATTTCTTTTATTTCTTCTTGTAATTACGTACTAACATTATAATCTTTTCTCTTGGTTTCGATGTATTTATAGTATTAAAAATGTATTTAAACAGCTTCATTTTATGTTTATTTCATGATTTTTGTGTGTTTATGTTTATAATTACTTATTTGTTTTTTATTTATGACAATAAATATTTTGCCTTACGTAAAAAAACGATTTCAGTGGAACGTATTGAGTAAATAATAACTTTTGAGAACAAAATTAAGCTTAATTTACAAGAACTTTCCTATAAACAATATTATTAGTAATAAGTAAATTAATTTTATGAGCAGCTTCAATTTTACGAATGACTTCAATCTGGCAACACCGCTCCTGCTAGTCGTTTGCAATCGAAGGATCCGCACGTCTTCCCGTCCGTTGCATCGATTTTTTTAATTT